CTGTGACTGTAGAGGAAGGAAGGGCCTGTGACTGTAGAGGAAGGGTCTGTGACTGTAGAGGAAGGAAGGGCCTGTGACTGTAGAGAAAGGAGCCTGTTACTAGCCTAACAAATGAGTCAAAGCACTTCTGACAGACAAAGTCTGCTTCCTAATTTATTATAGAATTCACAAAAATCTTAGTTTTTACTATCTACGCACTTATATTTTTTTATTCTGCAAATTAAATGTCCTATATAATGGTCTAGTTACAAGAGTTAATGATTTCAAGAATAAGCAAAGATGGTTAAGTTTTTTTTTGTTTTGTTTTTTTGAAGTCTGGGAAAGAAATTCCCACCCAAGTTTTGATGATGTGGAAACTAACAACACAATACAAATAGGAAGGGCATGGGAAATAAACAACAGTCATCTCTGCTTAGGTGTGGGATTAATATTTGAAAATTTATATTCCTCTTTCAAGCCTATGATAAAAACAATATTTCCTCCCCAGAAAAATAATCATGAAATTTGATGCAAAACATCAAAGTATTTCTGACCTTCTGAGGCTTTTCCAAGGCTTTCCTGGGCACCCACGTTGCTGATCATAAAACTCAAAGCAAACTATTACAAGACCAAGTGCATCTCTTTAATGATCTAAGAATCACAAGTGGTGAGAGAAGTCTTTGTAAAAGTAGAAAACTTTCAAAGTAGTTCAGTTATTTTCACTCCAATATAGTCAAGAAATTAGCTGTCCCTTCCTATTAGAGTGACACAGGTCAAAATTCATTTTACTTGATGGAAAATCATTTTATATGTGATTCAAAGAGATAAGAGAGAAAGCAGAAACCTTCTTTAAGTGAAATTAGAAAGACTTCAAGGTTTATCATTACCTTCTAGAATTTAGAGTATTGATTTAGCCCCCCAGAATTTCACATTCTAATGCTCTTTTTGTTCATGATAGACTATTGACTTACACTATATTTAAGCACTATAATTGTAAAATTATGTATTTTCAGATAACTCATTTATATCTAATAAGTTAAGACAACATCTTCTAAAATTTAGAATAGGTCCAATTTTCCCAGAGTAACTAACATGTTTTCAGGAAGTGAATCCCACCTAGATGTGGTAGCATTGCTAAATGGCTGAATTTGCAAAAGTGGGTGATAATTAAATCGTTACGCTCAGCTCTTATTAAATATTAATGAATTCTCCATGACTTTGAATCAGAGAGTTTGTTACAATGGGCGCTTCTGACCGGGTTGTCTGAATGATGAATCATCGGCCCTGTGGTGGTCTCCCTCAGCTCCACGGTACTCATAGGCACAGTACCAGAGAATTTAACTGTGGTGGACTGTGTTGTACTTGGCTTTTTCCTAAAAAAATTTAAAAGGAGCTTTCAATAGTGATATCACCATGTTTTAGCCTAAAGGAGCAAAAGGTTTTTCTAAGGGAAAGAACTTGACATTTAAAAAAAAAAAAAAAAAAGCCGGCCGCACAGCCCAGACTCCAGTCATCTGAAGGCACTCATTCGTGTGGCTTTGGCTCCAGTTGCACACATGCCAGGACTCGAGCTCAGAAAAGCATCTGGTCACCAGAAGCCGCCTAGTGTAGTCCCTTCCACCCCTCTTCTTGTTTGTTTTTGTAGCAAATGTTGGGCACCAGAGAGACAAACAGGGGTGAAATGGCTTTCTCCTTTCCCATCTGGTTCTCTGTAGAGACCAAAGCATCAGTTTGTAATGTTCTGAATGCTGAGGAGCTCACTCTCCCATCCTCCGGCCATCACCACCCTCCTGTACACAGTTTTCCACCAGTAGACCAGGCTGTAGTGATAGGCTTTAAGTAATAAAACACACTGCTCCTTCTCAATCCCCAGTGAGTAACACTATATTTGTGAGACAATAGTCTTATGCTTTATTTCACAGGACTATATTCTAACAAATACAAGACGTAGAGTCAAAGTATATGAAAATGCTGAAATTATTTACAAAAGAAACACAGCCTTTAATGTAGAAATGGATTCCTCTGTTCTGATGAGGAAAAGGAGTTGGGTTCAGAGATTAAAATACAATTCTTGTAGAAATAACCAGAAAATAGGTGGATAGGACACTGCGCCCCACCCTAGGCCAGATATTTAAAAAAAAGACAGAAAGATAGATGGACAAGAAGGACAGATGGCAGAAAGGGAAAAAAGGAAGGAATCATAAAAAGGAGGGGAGGAGGAAGGAGATAAGAGAAGAGGAAGAGGAGGGGCCTGACTCTAGTGTTTGTGTCACAGGGTTCTCAGTACCATACCTGTAAAAATCAAATGGGTTTTCACACTCAAGGACAGCACCATTAACCTCCATTCACACCCAAGGACAGCACCATTGTACCTCCATTCACAGCCAAGGGCAGCACCATTGGAACTTTATTCATAGCCAATGACAGCACCACTATAACTCCATTCACACCCAGTAACAGCACTGTTATAGCTCCAAACATCTTTGTCATCTAATAACCTTATGGAGAGGAGAGTAGGGCTGAAGAGAGAAAAGCAGGAAGAAACAAGGGGAGGGATGGAGGAACCTAGGAAAATCTAAATTAGCACACGGCATGTAATAATTCACTTTCTTTTGCATGCAGACATCTGTCCATTTCAGACAGAAGCTGAGAACCCCTAAGAAAACAGCAGCAATGGTGCAGGCAAGGACTCCCTGTCAGGCCTGTAAATAACAGACAACATGGAGAGGATGTGGGTGCCTGTGCAGTGGAGGGTACAGGTGGCTATTTGCTAGTGAGCTTCCAGCTTCAACGTCAGGAGGCTCTGTGAAATCACCAGTTCAGAACAGTGTGGGCCAGCCCAGCCTCTTTTATCTACAGAACAACTGCAAAGCTGTACTTTTAACATTAAAGACTAATAAAATAAAGCAAAACACATCCTTGTGGAGGAAAAATTTCCACTAAGAAGTACGTTTCTGGGTCTGGGAAGATGACTCAGTGGTTAAGAACATGCACTCTATTGCAGAGACCTGAATTTGTGCTCTTCACCAGGTCTGGTGGCTGAAAACTGTCTGTCACTACAACTCCAGGGGATCCAGCATCCTCTGCTGACCTACTTGCGTGTGGCACTTTGATGCACAAATCATACTAAGACACATACAAATATGCATAATTCAAAATAAATAAATGAATAAATAGAAGTATATTTCTGAATTTAGACATCTGTTAAATCTTTCAACTGGCTTAACAAACATTGTCATATATTGATATACTATAAATTCTTTTCTGTATACTTTTATCTTCATTTTCGTCAAGAATTCAGAAAAGCAGGAAGAGCCATGTATTTGTCCTTGTTGCTTCTATTAAACATAGAGATTTTTATTCATTTCTGTCAATCATTCTGCTTTTCTCTCTATTTTCATTACCAAAATATTTTCAAGTAAAGTCCTGGTCTCATCAGTTAAGCTACTGGAACATTGCAATTTCATACCCAATGCCAACGCCATTATCACTCTAAGTAAAATGGTTTTATCTGCTAATCCTCTCATCACCTACAAGATAATGTTTATGATTGTTTGTTTCAGGTAAGTATCCAAATAATATGCCCATGTTACATTTTGTTGCTGTGTCACAGGCAGTTCAGGCTCTTAAGTCCATCATCCTGTTCTTTCTCTGTGCCACTGACATGCCAGTTGGCATCAATGTCATGATTGATAGTGGCTGTTTTTCCCATTAGCTGTAGTGAATGCAAGATACAGTCACACTTAGAAGTCTGGAATGACATTGTTTTATAGCACTGTTACTGTTTTGATTCTAGAGATGCTGGCACTGAATTACAAAGAGCATAGCTGGTGTTCCTGGAATGACACAGGAAAGTGTGAGACTCTGGCCAGTGAACTGAGTCAGGGGAGCCTGTTACTGCCACACCACACATCAGAACAGTTTCAAGGTCACTGCCTTCCTGGGGTGCCCCAGGGGTAGAAGGAGTTTGAAGCCTTCTGTACCACATCTCCCATGTGAATGTCATGTGTTTGTGCAATACACAGACATATTCAGGGATAACGATGTGTGTGGCTATCTCTTTTGCTATGAACAGGTCGTCAGAAGCCTCGGCCCCTTGGAACTGATTCTTAACACTCCTAGCCATCACCGGGTTCACCATGGTAAGGCAGTTCTGTGGCTTTTCCTTCCATCATTTCTTTAAAACTGGCAGTGTCGTTTTGGGGCTACTTTAGTAAAAACATGGCTTGTGCTATTAGCAGACATTGTATAAATAAGTACTGTTTCCCTCCTCTATGAAGGGAAGCCTCAGCTTCAGAGCATGGCCCAGTGCTCTGAACTGCTTTCTCAACTGCTTCCCATCTTCCCTAGTGGCAGCTGGGAAGTGAGCCAAACAGCTAGATAGGAACGTTCACATCTTGAAGAGGCCTCTGTAGCTTACTCTGACTCAGTGCTGCAGATCTGCCCTGTCTACGCTGAAATTGTTAGTCTTGAAAAATAGTGGGATTAGAAAGAAGCTTTTATTTTTTTTTAATATGTGTACTCCAGGAAATAAAACAGGAGAAGCCAATCACAAAATCAAAACAAAACAAAACAAACAAGCTCCTTTTAAAAACTTAAAGAATGCATACTGGGACTTGGAAAAAAACTAAAAACCAACACTTTCGTCTACCTAAGTTCATTGTCTAACTCAGCACATGCGCAGTGGCCCCACGAGAGGACTCCACATGGCTAGTGCCTAAGACATAGAGGTACCAAGTTCAGTGAAAATCAAAATGTGTTTTATTTGGGCAACACAGGAACCACTAAGAACGTGTATTATTTGTGACGGGAAAATAGTAAACTTGGAATGCGTATGAGCTGCAGCGTGGATGAGTACATAATAGACTCTTCACGTAGCAGTGAGATTGTCCACGCCACCTCCATATACACCGGGGTGAATAAATCTGAGGGGCGTAATGCTGTGGGCACTGGACGACGAAGGAAGGAAAGCTGTCTCGTGCTGTGCTACGCCTCCGCCTTCACAGGCAGTTTTAGAACACTACAGCCCTCTCAAGGGGAACTTCCCCCTTTCTCAGGCAGGGGCCACAACAGCATAGGAGGGGGATCAAGCTCTTCCAAACTCAGTACTCTCCTCCCCTGGGAACAGTTAGCAAGGGAGTGTAGGATTCTTGTGGATTCCTCCACATAAACAGAAAAATCTGTAAAGAGGAGAACACACTGAAAAAATGACAGCTGGTCATTTCTTCTTCTTCACCTCACCTTCCAATTCCCCAGCCTTCAGTCAGACCTAGTCAGCATCAGTCGTGTCCTGTCCTTGGGGACCAGAACTTTGTGTTGAAAGCTGTCCCGGGCACTGTAGGATGCTTAGCGGAGTTCCTGATGATGCCTGCTTGGTCTGTGCCCTCCTCTGATGTGATGACCTGTCACGTTTACAGACATTGCCAACACTCCCTTCAGTGGAGAACCATGTTTAGATTATGGGTGAACTTAGGTTCCCATGCTGGCCTGCACAAAAAGTGGGTACACAGATACAGATACATGGTTTAGTAGACTAAAACTCCTTTTTTTTTCAGATTTAGTAACATTTACATCATTGTACCTGTTTCAGGTTTAAAATACATAAAATAAAAACCGTTGCCAGTTACTTACATTAAGTTTAAATTGTAATTTAGATTTTGGGGATCTGGAAAATTAACATATTACTAAGAGTTGTAATTCCAAGAGTAATTTAATTTTTAATTATATCTTTTATTATTAAAATAGTGAAATAGTGTGCTAATTTTCTTTCTGAAACATCAGGAGAGAACAAGACTAAAAATAATACTAAAAAATTAAAGGTAAATACATACATTTCCTTTCTAAAAATTTATTTTTGTTACTATAGTTTGTGTGTGGGTATTTTGCCTGTATCTCCACCTGTGTAGCACATGCGCACAGTCCCCCAGAGGACAGAAGAGGGTGTCAATGCCCTAGAACTGCACCTGCTGACAGCTGGAAGCCACCATGGGTGCTGGGGACTGAACCTCAGTCCTCTGTAAGAACAGTCAGTGACCCCAAAACCCCCAATACATACATTTCCATCTCATCCCCTTGTTTCTTTCCTCTAAACAATGTGATTTTCAATTATTTGTTAGTTTTATGAAGTAATGTGACTATATCTAGACATTTAACTAAAACATTGGGAAAATGTGCATAAATTAATAAAACTATTGTTTTTATAAAGTTAGCTAGAAAATAACTAAAATGAGACTGCAAATAAAATCTAAGATTTTTTTTTAATTTTTGAGATTATAATATAATTATATTTCACTCTTCCCTTTCCTCCCTCCAAACACTCCCACATACTCCTCCCCGTTCCCCTTCAGATTCATGGTCTCTTTTTTCACTAATTATTACAGTTTGCATATACATTTGATATATGATATATTATAAGTGCCTGTGCTTACTTACTAGGCTAAGGTCACCTGATATGGTCATGAGGAATGAAATCAGGCCAGTTGGAGGGGCCACAGGACAACTGAGGCTGTGACAGTTTCATTGAGAGCAATCAGACTTTTTATACCTTTATCAGAAACAGATACAATGGTAATCGCCAGGATCGATACAGTTGTAGATGCCAGGACACCGTTTGTGAGCCATGCAGGGTAGACAAGACTAATGTCTAAGAGCAATTGTCCTGTCAAGCTTCCTTGCTTCCTTGACTCCTAAGGGAACAGACAGATGCTTCACTGCCTGAGGGAGTGCATCAGTCTCTCAGGAACTAACTGGAAGGCACACTGTGCCCCAGAAGCCATGGACTGTAACCTGAAAAACCTCTGACCTGTGTCTCAAGGCAGCTAGGCCAGGCCAACTCCATGGTTCTCTGCAATATATGATGTATGTGTATGCACATTCTTAAACATGGCTGCCCAGCCTGTTTAAGTTCCTTGTCTGTGTGTTGTCAAGGCTGACTGCTTGGCACGGAACAAGCAATTGTTGTGGTCTTCTCTGGGCAACTCCAGTTGCCCTCCGTCCCTCTCAACTGTCCTCACTTGCTTCTGGTGATTTGTGTAAGCCTGGGGAGAAGACATCTCGAGAGCTACTTTACTGCTTGGCTTTTTCTTGTATTTTTTAAAACAAGAGGAATAAATGTTCCAGAAGCTCATTTTCATGTATTTGAAAATTTACTTTTAATATTTCGTCTCACAGGCAGAAATCGTTACTGTATCGACAAAAACTACGCTGGCACCCTGATTATCTGGGACAGAATGTTTGGTAAGTGAAACGCACAGCCATCAAAACAGCTCACTAGGCTGCTTTGGAAATGGTCGAAAATCAGTAATCATAGTGTAATGCTTGTCTTCCAGGGACCTTTGAAGCAGAGAATGAACGGGTTGTATACGGTCTAACGCACCCCATTGATACATTTGAGCCATTCAAAGTTCAGGTAATTCATTCAGCCCTGTTCTTTCTGAATGCATAGAATTTCACAAAGTTTATGTTTAGGAGGAAAATGGTTATTGTAGATGGAAGCACATTACATTGCTGTGGAAAAATGTTTTACCTATAAAAGAATTTGAAATAACTTTAGCAGTTAAGTAACACTTGAGTCAGATGGGTAAAATTCATTAAAACCTATTATAAGAATTTTCAAATGTGTCTAATACCTCAAATGCAAAAAAAAAAAAAAAAGTGGTTCTTTAAGAAACATGTTCTTTCTCAGAATAGACCTGAAATATATTCATGTATTCAGGAACAGTGGTACAACATGTAATTAAGGCTGATCCCACAGTAAGAAAAATATTTGCTTCAAGCCTTCAACCTCTGGTTAGAAATTCACCATGAGGCCTTTACCCTTCTTGTCTCAGAACTGGATGTCAAGGAGCGTTATCCATCAGTGAGGCCCTCCTGCTAAGACTTGGTGGAGCAGACCAATTTTCTGTTAGACATGTGCTATTGCTTCCTCACTGGCCTTAGCGGTCTGCACTAGAGAAATGAAGAATGTCTGCAAAGTTCCAGTGTGTCAGCATCAGATTACCACAGAGTCTCCTGGGGTTATGGAATCACAAATGAGGGAAAGATAAGAATGCTCTCAAAGCTGTGATGCTCAGCCAGTGACAGACTTGTGCGCTGGGCTGGGTGGTTGCTATGTACCGGAAGTAACAAAATTACAGGCTCCTGTTGGGCCTGCTCCACAACCCACTCAAGTTTGCACACGACATTGAGACAGAAGAATGCTCTACATCTGTTAAATCCCTTCTGTGTGAAGTACCTGCAAACACAAAGCCGTTCGCTCACCGTCAGTAGTACCTCATGAAGAAGCCGCTCTTTGATTTCTGTCTTCTAGCCTGAGAAACACAGGCTCAGAGAGTTTAAGTAATTCCAGATTCAATTGACAGCTGCAAATTTACCCTAGGAAGCCAAGACCAAGGCTCGCTTAATTCATTTAAACTACTCCTCACCTGACTGTGGCTTCACACACCAGCTTTGGTCAAATGCCATCATTTCTACATTCAAAGTCATTTCTGTGCGTCCACAGTTGAAAAGAAGATTGCTGATCTCTCTGTCTCTCTGTCTCTCTCTCTCTCTCTCTCTCTCTCTCTCTCTCT